AATCCGCCGAAAAGTCCTCCCGACGGCGCTGGTCACTCTCCCAAGCAACAACCGCCTCGGGGGTAGCGAAACCGTGCAAATTCGCAATCAGTTGGGGTGACAAGGCCGGAAGCTCAGCGATCGCTGAGGTTGGGAGAGGATCACCCTCGGCCGCTGCTGGTGCCTCTACAGCTTCGCTGTTATGACCCGCGTCCCAACCAGCACCACCCCCAACAGGCTCAAAGCCAAGCAAAGGACCCCAAACAGCCTTCGTCCCGTCTGTCGGGCCAAACGGGGTGCCCACAGTGGCCTTACCCAGGTTATGGCCTGGGAACAAACCGCGCTTTAAACGGGACCTCAGGGTCTTATACCCCGAATGGGAGGATCCTTTGCAGTTCGATTGAAGGCCTCCCCGCGCACTCTGATGCGCCGAAGCCCCACAGCACTTACAAAAAAAAATGTCGTCAAGAGCTGCACCGTCCTCTGCCTGGACCGTGGCCTGGACGATGGAATGGCCTCTAAGCACCCAGGGAACACCAGAAACCTGGAGGAAGTCCCTGGGGGCAGGATGAGGCGGAGGCGGAGGGGGAGGAAGAGCAGAACCCATAGCCCCCATGGCCCTGGGACCCCGCTCAAAAGGCCTCACACCCGCTTCCTGGCAGGTCTCCTGGAGGGCCTGCGAAAACTCATCCTCGAATTCAATATCCGCTGTACCGGCAATGCCGTCAGAATCAGGTTGTTCCAGGGACCCGAAGGCAGCCTGGGCACGTCCATGCCACAAAGCACAGTCTCTGACAATTCGCTTACAACCTGAAACAAATAAAGGCCAGCGCTCAGGAATTGCCCAGAGCTTTGCCGCCTGCTTGGCACATTTGTCTGCCATCCGGCTGCATCGAATTAGCCAGGTATCATGATCAGTTATTGCATTCGCCTCGGACTGGTGCGCTTTCACATTACAGACTGACGCTCGGCGACCTATGCCGGCCCACCATTCAATCCAGGTGTGGCGCCGAGGGTTATCATAAGATAAAGCTGTGCCCGCATTCTGCGCGCACTCAACAGTGCCCGAGCAGTCGCAGAAGACCTCGAGGGGGTCTTCGGCATTCCATTCTGAGAAGCGGCTAAGCATGCAGAAGGCGTAGTCCTCCCCGTCCCTTGCAACCTGGGCCGGGGCAAACCCTAGAGGAACTACACCATGCATTGCTGCAACAAGCTGGCCTGCGGGTCTATGGCCACAACAGCCCACCCCGCTCGGCTGAGCCCTTCGTGGGCTGCGTTGAAAGCGGACCCGTCCACGAAGACTTTACCCGAGAACCTCCACCCAGGAACCACCCTCACGAAACGCAGCCAATTTTCTTCGGGAGCTACGTGGCGGGGGAAGGCGCGACTCGGCGACGGCCATAGGCAGCGGGAAAACATTTCGCCGTCCGTAATACTCGCTGAGGCCCCTGACACAAAAAAACGGCCTGCTGAACATGGGGCGGGCGCAGCTCCCGTCTGACCGGGAGCAGCCGGGAACGCTCGTAAAATCGATGGAAGAGGGTGCCACGAGCACCACAGTGAGCGCACTGATCATGCAGAGCCTTCCCATGAGAATGCAAACGAGCTTGAGGCCAGTGGCTACCGCCGACCAGCGACCTGATATCCGCGCACATGTGAGCCGCCCACCCCGCTGTGTGCTCCCTGGCAAGCACGGCCGAGACAGGCGCCCAATGGAAAGGCGAGATCCAAGCGCCCTCCATCCGACGAAGGGCCGCCACATCAGAAGCCGCCAATGCCGACTCCCGAGCAAGATTCATGGCGAAAGCAGGGGAGAAACGGCGGAGATCAAAATCACCGTGAAACGGGTCCCGATAGACCGAAGCACTGGGCAGTGTGGCCCCGATCCTGGCCAGAGAAAGCAGCGCCGCCTGGGCGGGGTCCACGACCTGGGACCAGGGCCGGGGACGAAGGAGGATGCCCCGGGCCGACCCCAGACAGGCCTCCAAAGGCCCCAACCCTGGCAGCGCGGAAACCACCGAAAGCGCCCAGTGCTTGGCCACCTCAACAGCATGGACCACCCATGGGTCCCTGTGGCCCCCCCTTGGCGCGGCCCTGAGACGCAGAGCCACTGACGTCCCCGGGGGGGCCCTACCCTCGGCACGGAGGGATGCAACACGAAGCGAGTGGAGCTTGTGCTCCGAGATGCCAGTGACAGCTGACCCCCAGACCGCCGTCGCCGTAGGAGGCCCCCGCATGATCGCGCTGACGCTGGCGCCTGCCCCGCGCAACTGCGCGACACGCTGCGAGACCCTCGCCGCTTTCGCAAAGCGCTTGTCCTGCTCCAAGACAGAGCGAGAGGCCCCGCTATTCGCGTCCGTGCCTAGACACCTACCTGCAGACAGTTTGTGGTCGGAGCAAAGATCCCAGCGACCGCCTAGCTCGGCGTCGAGGTCAGGCGCGCCGGTCATAAAACCTGTTTCATCCCAATTGACTTTGAGAAATTTCCGTTCTAGGCCAGCCACGAGCTCCATCATAGCCGAAGGGAATTGTTCTAACACCTGGGACCGTCCACCGATCATCTGCAACAAAAAGTCATCAACTAAATTCTGAAACCTAACCTGATGATAACGATACTGCAGCTTCTTAATCAAGGTGTGGACCAATAATTTGGCCAATGCGAGGGCGTTGCTGCAGCCTGCTGCTACGGTGCCGCTTGCTACCATAGGTTCAAAAATGATCGCCTCCCAGACCGCTCTACGCGGCAGGCGATAACTAGAACGCAAGCATCTAAGCAGCGCCACTGGAAACCCCGCGAGGGGCGCCTCCTGGAAGAGGTCTGCGTGCGAGATATGCTCGTAATACTTGGACAAGTCCAAACGCCCGCTAACAGCCGAAAGAACTTTTAAACGAGCAAATCTCTGGATGATATTGCGCACGTGACCCGCGCGATCGCAGGTGAGCCCCGAAGACCCCCAACATGCCGAATTATCAAGGGAGAGCTCCCAGCGCCTGGCCACGGGCTGCCGGAACCTCGACCAAACTCTGCCCCAAATCGACGCCAGCACGATGGGCCTAACACCTCCCGCGGGAGCAGGTTTCCCGAGGAAGAAAATCAAAAGCATCCAGAGGTCCAGGGCCTCAGGATCGGACTCCCATTTCAAAAGGATGTCTACGAACGCTACCTTATATAAGAGCGGCAGCCAGAGGAGCTGCCTCGGACGGGGGCGGTCCCACCCTAGTCCAGCACCAGCCGGGTAGGACTGTAGGACTCTATCGAGAGACTCAATGGTGATGGCAGGCAACGGCTCCCAGGGGTCCAACTCCCCGGAAAAAACCCAAGCCCCTCGAGGCCACGGTTGGGCCCCAGGCCCGCCAAAACGGTCTGGGCCAACTTGGGGCCCCAATCTCTCGGGCGCACTTCGCCATCGCGCCGTGGATGGTTCCACAGCGGCCCCCATTGCTCAAGCAACAAATCGACCGAATGCTGCCCTACAGCTGGCATCTGAGGCGTGTCTCCGTCTCCTGGAGTGAGAATCTGGGTGCGTGGGGTTGGCTCTCGGACATATCCATGCGCCGCGCGGCCCCCCTGTTCCGAAGCAGCTGCCTTGGCCCAGGCTTTCCACTTCGCGCTCCTGGCTGCGCGATCGCCGGCCTGGAGCAAGTTGGCATGATCTCCCACCCCCTCCAAGAACGCCAAAGCCTCTCGACCACCCCCCAAAACAAGAAAGATAAGCGAGGCGGGGGATGCCCCGGCCCATGCAAGAAGCGGGCCTTCTGCAGGCCATTCAACAGCAATGCGCTGACAGGTGAGGGCTTGCCGCCTGCAGGCGGCCAAACTACTGAGGCCCTCCTCCTTCATGCTGAAGCCGATCGCGTGCAGGCGCACGAAGGCCGAGAGGTAGGAGGACCACTACCTGTACCCTAGCGACGAGCCTTCCCTGACGTCCTGCTTCCAAGCCGTCTCGAAGGGAACGTGGGCAACACGAAGGCCGGAACTGCGACCACTCCAACTGCGTTGACACCACGGCTGGATGTCGTGAAGATCTATCAGGTAGGTCTCCACGTGGTCCAACCAGCATTGGCACGCCTCGCCCAGATTATCAGGGAGCTCCTGGCCAACCTGCCATGTCCACTCATCTAGATGAGCCTCAACCGGGGCCGGCCTGACAGGCAAGGGCTTCTCGATCGGGAACCTCTTGGGGTAGACCGCGCGCGTGACAGTGGCCCCCCGATGAAGCCCCCCGAATGTGATGGCCAGCGGCACGTGTGTCTTGGCGGTGCTGCCCATTACCGCCTCGACCTTTGAGATGAAGGGAGCCAGAGCGTTCGACACGATACCAAAATCAATCTCCCTGCCAGCACAGGTCGGCACCTGTGCCGAAAGCAATCTGCCCTTGGCATGCTTGGCCCAGGCCTCGAGGTCCGTCGGCAGCATGCTCCAATCCCCTATCAGCAGCCACGGCCCCTGGAGGCCGCCGACGAACGCCATGATGCCCTCGAGGTGGTCGAGGTTCTCGTCGCTGAGGCCGATGCTCGTGGCGAGGTAGACAGAGCAGACGCACAGGGGAAGGGCGCAACCAATGTTGAGGTACATCACCGAAAGTCTATGGGGAGGTATCGATTCCATCGAGCACGGAATGGGGGACGCCGTAATCCTCGATAGGACTGCGCACCCGCCACTGCTCTCATTGCCCGTCTATCCAGTGGACGCCGCTGGCACGAAGTGATGATGATACCCACGATCCCGAGACCACTTACGAGCCGCTCGAAGCTTGTCGCAAGACTTGAGCCTATGCTCCTGCAGGCAGAGAACGCGTGGCGGACGATAGGGCGAGTCATTGTGAATCCACTCCAGCAAAATCTGCGCCGATGCCCAGGAATTGGAGTTGTTAGACCACACCGTGAGCTCCCCTCCAAGCGAATCCGCCGCCCCCGCGCGGGCGGGAGTGTGTCCGGACCGGGCGTTTGCGGACCCACTCCCGTGCAGGCCCCGTGCGGGGTCGTCCAGCCGCCGATCCGGAGCGAATGCCGCGTCCACATCAAACCCGCTGCTTCTTGGCCACTTTCTGGAAGCCTTCCATGAAGCGCTTGACGCGAGCGGGGTCGGTGGTGTCCACGCCGGAGCTCTTGAGGTGCTCGACCAGGTCAGGGTCCTCAGCGTCCCAGTCCATGGCATCAGCAGGAGCACCCGGCTGAGGAGGAGGAGGCCCGCCAGAGCCAGCAGCGCCAGACACGGCGCCACCAGCAGCCTGCGCGCCTGCTGGCACCCGAGGTTCTGGGATCTTCGCCTTAACCTCGGTGACCTTGGCAGCGGCCTGGGTCTTGAGCTCAGTGACGTCGAACCCGAAGCGCCCCGCGCCTTTGCCCAAGAACAGGCTGAACATTTCGAGCCATTGCAGATCCGACGCTGGGTCCCCGGCGTCAGCCTGGATCCCGATGTCGGGGATGACCGTCTTGGCCTGCGCGGCCTTGACGTACTTGTCGAGCTCCGCGAGGGAGTCTTTGTGACGCTGGAGGATCTCGATCTCCGCCGCGTGGGCTGCCTTGGCCTGCTCGAAGACCCCGGCAGCGGCATTGACCCTCTCCTGCGCCGCCTCGAGCTGCTTCCTCTTGCGCGACTGGCGCTAGAGGAGGTCCTGGAGGCCTTTGGTGGACAGGTCGGCAGGCGCGTCAGCGGCTGCCTCGTTGGCCGCCAGCGTCGCGCGCACCTCGTCCAGGACTGCAGCTTTGCCATCAAAACCACCACCCCGCTTGACCAGCATTTCGAGGAGCTGGTCGGTGGAGGGTTCGGTGTTGGCGCTGGTGCCGGTGCTGGCGTTGGCGTCCTCGTTCCACCACTGGTTGCCCGACCACCAGGCCCCCCGTGAGGAATGAGGAGGCCCCCAATACCATTGGCCCTGGGCCGGCTTGGGGCTCGCCGACTTGGGCTGTCTCTTCTGCTGGTTGAGCACATGCTGCGGCGCCTTGTTGCCGCATTGGCTGCACTCGGAGCGGAACCCGAAGTTCTGAAACCGGCACTTCTGGTCCCGGCACGTCCACACCTTCACATGCTGCGCTTGACCATTGCCGCCTCCGGTTGACATGAAAGAAGTTGGTTGGCTCTGCACCGCTGCGCCACTTCCAAGTGCGCGGTGCAAAAGATCGCAGATCGCTGATCGCTGAGATCTGGAAATGGCTGGGGGGAGGAGGAGGAGGAGAAGGAGGAGGGGGAGGAGGAAGAGGAATAATGAGGAGGAGGGGATGGAGGAGGAGGAGGAGGCGGAAGAGGATATGAGGAGGAGGAGGAAGAGGAGGAGGACGAGGGGGAGGACGAAGAGGAGGGGTAGGGGGAAAATGATGGTGATGATGATGATGATGATGATGATGATGATGATGATGATGATGATGATGATGATGATGATGATGATGATGATGATGATGATGCTGCTGACGCTGATGATGCTGCTGATGATGCTGGTGATGACGATGATGACGACAATGATGATGATGACAATGATGATGCTGGTGCAGAGGTTGATGACGATGATGATGATGATGATGATGAGGAGGAGGAGGAGGAGGAGGAAAGGGAGGAGGAGGAACGGGATGAGGAGGAGGAGGAGGAGGAGGCGGAGGAGGAGGAGGAGAGAGAGGAGGGTCGAGGGAGGAACTCTGTTTGGGCGGCTGCAGGCTCTGCTTTCCAGGCCATGATCTTCGACGCAGAAAGCTCGGAGGTCCCCCAGCCTTCTGAGAAGTCTTCTAGGCGTTCCCCAAGATTTTTTTGTGCCCGGACAGAACACCTGGGCGACACAACCCGAAGGGAGGCGCCCAAGGTGCCTGCATGAATTCACATGCAATCGGACCTCGCAGCACGAACGGCGGCACGGACCGCCCCCGGCGTTATCCGCGCCGCCGTTGCGAGGTGCCTCGAGATGCCACCCCGAGACACGGCCACCGGCACCACCCCCACTTGGCCGCCGGCCTCAAGTAGCGGAGGCCCCGCTGCCCAAGGACTTAAGTTCCCGCGCCCCCCACGTCGGGGGACCCCTTCGAGTAACCCCATCGGGCCTCTCAGGGGTGGTACGGCGGGCCCGCACCTACTGTGGCTGGCCAACCACAGGGCAAGAGTCTCTCCTACAGCCCCGTCGAGCTGTGGAGACGATCGGGCTGCCAACCCGCCTGTTTTCCTGGGACGCCACAAAGGCATAGGCCTTCCCCAAGACGTAACACAACTGCTCAGAAGGCGCGAAGGTTTCAGAGGAATCCCGCCAACTTCTTCGGGAAACCAAGAGGTACCAATACCGCTACTCCCTGGATCTCTCCCAGGGTGCATTCTGACTACAACTTCGAGGCGAATCCAACGGTGGCGACGAGGGCTTCCGAGGAGGCCCAACAGGGGAAACATGAGGGAGGGGTAGCAGTATGGGTAACTTTGCCCATTCTGCCTTCTGAAAAGGCCTTGTCCTTCTCGCTTCCCCTCCTCGCTCGCCGCCGAGAAGAGGAAGTTAGCGCCCTCGTGCAGGAGCAGGGGCGAGTGCGCCCGCAGCACGCGGAGCCAGAGCGGCGCCTGCAGCAGCCAGGTGGCCACCCACGCGAGGCCCCGGGGGGTCCGCGCGGCCTCCGTCCAGACCAGCTCGTCCTCTGGCAAAAAAAAGCGGGGGCGCGCCCAAAGACGCCACCCCCCTGTGCACAAGCAGACAGATGAGGCGGGAGGAAGAGGAGGAGGACGAAGCGGGATCAGGAGGAGGAGGAGGAGGAGGAGGAGGAGTAGGATATGGAGGAGCAGAAGGAGGAGGAGGAGGAGGAGGAGAAGGAAATGGAGGAGGAGGAGGAGGAGGAGGAGGTGGAGGGAGGAGGAGGAGGAGAACCAGGAGGAGGAGGAGGAGATGGAGGAGGAGCAGGAGGAGCAGGAGGAGGAGGAGGAGGAGATTAAGGAGGAGGAGGAGGCGGACGAGGAGGAGGAGGAAGAGGAAGCGGACGAGGAGGAGTAGGAGGAAGAGGATAAGATGCAGGAGGAAGAGGAGGAAGAGGAGGAGAAGGAGGAGGAACATAATGGCAAGCGGAGGAGGAGACGTAGGGGGAGTGGACGGGGGAGGAGGAGGAGGAAAGGGATCAGGATGAGGATGATGAGGATGAGGATGATAATGCTGATGATGATGATGATGATGCTGATGATGATGTGGATGATGATGATGATGATGATGATGACTATGATGATGATGATGAATATGAAGATGAAGATGAAGACGATGATGATGATGATGATGACGATGATGACGATGATGCTGATGATGCTGATGATGATGATGCTGATGATGATGATTATGAAGAGGAGGGAGGGAGGAGGAGGAGGAGGAGGAGGAGGAGGAAAGGGAGGAAGAGGAGGAGGGAGGACGAGGAGGAGGAGGAGGAGGAGGAGGAGGAGGGGAGGAGGAGGAGGAGGAGGAGGAGGAGGGGGGGAAAGAGGAGGAGGAGGGGAGGAGCAGGAGGAGGAGGAGAGGAGGAGGAGGAGGAGGAGGAGGAGGAGGAGGGGGAGGAGGAAGAGGAGGAGGAGGAGGAGGAGGAGGAGGAGGAGGAGGAAGAAGAAGAAGAAGAAAGAAACACTCCGTGGGGGCCAAGTTCGTCTATAAAACTAGACATTCAGAGGCCCAGAGGCTATCCTCATATTGAGGATCCAAAACGCCTGGGGACGCTGGCCCCAAAGCTGCACCGAAACCTGGTGCACCGCCCGAGGCACTAAACCCGAGCACGAGCTACCCGAGTCTAGGCCAGCGGACTCCTCTGCACAACTACTCTCTACGTACCATTGCCAAGACATGCCTGCTCCTACTCAGCGCTTGCCAGCGTGCGGTGCCTTCCTCTACTCCTAAAGCCTTCAGATATCGTGCTACCTCCAATCCTCCTTCTGGTTCATCCCCTCCATGTCTCATCACATATCTGCGTACCTCCGTACTCTCTGAAATCGATGCGTTTCTGGCCATATTTTCCAAAAAGGTTGGGTTCGAAACACTCCTCATTGGCATCTGTGATCCCCTCGACCCCGAAGACGCCCTCGAAGGCGAAACCCTCCTCATTGGCATCTGTGATCCCGACGTCCCCGAAGAAACCGTCCTCATTGGCATCTGTGATCCCGTAGACCCCGAAGAAACTCTCCAAGGCGAAACCCTCCTCATTGGCATCTGTGATCCCGTCGACCCAGAGGAATTCCCCATAGGCGAAACTCTCCTCATTGGCATCTGTGATCCCGTGGACCCCGAAGACACCCTCCAAGGCGAAGCCGTTCTCATTGGCATCTGTGATCCCGAGCGGCCCCTAGCTTCTCTGACACTCTCCCTCGTCGGACTCCTCTCAGCGTCCGATTGCACTGCCTGCGGCTGGCGCTCGTGCACAGTCAGTCGGGGACTGTGGGCCGGCTCAGCCGCTGACGTTCTTCCCGCCTGTGATGTGGTCATCCTCGAATCCCCCTCCGCCGTCACTAGACTTGTGTCAATCTCAGGCATACTCGATTCAAGATGATCCGAAAGTGTAGTGGTCTGTCGTGCATGCTCGGCTACTGCAGAAACACCTCCAGCCACTCCTGCAACTCTCTCTCCATGTGGCTCGCCGGCGCTCTGCCCGATTTCAGCTCCGCGCCCAGCTGCTGGAGGGCGCTGATCACCTCCTTGCGGCCTTCCTGGAGGCACAGCGTGATCCTGCGCTTGCCCTGGTCGTAGCACCTGTCTACCTTGGTGAAGCGGATGATGTCCATCTTTCCTTCGTAGTCGAGTGTCTGGAGCCGAGCCTTGAACTCGGTCAGCTTCTCGAAGTTCACTTTGCCGATGCTCTGTTGGCGCGGCAGTAGCGCCTCCAGTAGACCCCCGAACACGAACAGGTGGGGGGCGCCGAGCCCGTGGCCCTTGCCCTTTGCCTGAACCTGGGCGTTGTAGGCCGAGCCCTGCTCCTGCATCTTCAGCACCTCGGGGAGCTCGGCGATCAGCACGTCGAACAGCACCCCCTCGATGTTCCGACGGCTCTGGGCGAGCGATAGCAGCATTTTCATCATCAGCACGTACAGCCCTTTGTTGTGGCCATTGACGCCTGCGGTGGTCTTCTGAGCAGTCTGGCCGCCGTTCCCCTCGTCGCGGCGCCTGACCGCTCGCTGAAACTCGGGCTCCTTCTTGCTGTCGGTGCCGCTCGCCAGCACCAGTGCCATGGCTAGGTACGCCCGCTCGTTCGGTGCGCTGCTCCCTACGCACGCGAGGCTGAACCGCAAGAGGAGGTGGAGGGAGGTGATATTCCTCTGCGAGTGTGTCGAAGTCAGATTCACACATTGGGCACTGCAGGGATTTGGGTATAATTAGATCCCAGTCGAAGGCGGTACGATTGAGTCTACATCTGTTGGTCAACCATGCGGTACGAACGTGTTGACGAGCACTATCTTTAGACGAGAACGCGGTACGACACCATGGACACATGTTTGTCAAGACGGTCGAGAACAAAGGGTTCAACTTATGAGCTAGTAGGCCTCCTCTAGACTCAAACTCCTGTAGGCACATATTCCCATGGGAGTCCTTCAGGTTACATATGTATGTCGTGGGCTCCTCATTATCCCCCTCCTGTTCGAAGGCCCTCGCAGGGCCCCTGAGACGGCTCCGAAATCGTGCTTCCCCCTCATGCAACATTGAGGCCTTCAAGATCTTGGGGTCAACTTTCAGCCACACCTCCCGAACTTCTTCTTCCAGGAATAGAGCCCTCCAGGAGAAATCCCATCGTTCCCAGGCCTCGAAGAAGTCCTCAGTACCGCTAATACCAGCAAACGCCCAGAAATCTCGCTCTATCTGGAAAGCCAATGGGGGTGCGCACGTGCGGAGGTGCCCGTCATCATCTAGCGAGGGAGGTCTGTTTTCGAGATGCCCCCAAATCGAGGCGATCACCTGCTGGTGCGCGAGGGCGTCCTTGGCCATCTGCTGCACCCATCCGAAGCGTCTGGCCGCCTGCTCGAAGCGGATCGGTATCAGGCGCCACCTCTGCCTAAGCGTCGAATTCGATGACGAGTGCGGGTGCTCGCCTGTCCAGTCCGTGGCTTTGCCACGCTCCAAAACACGAAGGTACTTAGTTATAATCCCGTCCAACTGCTGGGTCTGGGCCCTCGGGAACACGAAAGGTTCGTTCGCGGATAATGCTGCTTCCACCACGTGGCCCCTAAAGGCCAGTATCTTCAGGGATTTACTAGTACGGCTGGTCCAGAACTTACCAAGCTTCCCCCACCCAGCGTGGACGGCTGCGCAGCGATAGCGAAACTCTTCCATGCTCGATAGATTCCATGCGTAGCGGCAGCCCAGGTATCTAGCTCTAGCTGGTGCCTTGCCCATCTTAAATTCGGCCGAGAAGTCTCGGTTCGCTTGATGACTGAGGAAGGCAAGGTACGGTTTCTCGCTTACTATAGTTCTGAATAAGACCCTTAGCCCCCAATACCCCATCGAGCACGTCGTCGCTGTGTTTTAGTTTCTCTTCGATCTTGGTCTGCGTCGTATCGTCGATCGGCATCTTATCGAATATATCGTCGGCGTACACGGTCGTCGCCCCACAGCACAAAGAATTATATATGCCGCACCTCAGGTGCGTGGCCGTCTCATTCACCGCCCGTTCGTCGATCCAGGATCTCATAGGGTTCTCCATTACCTTCGCGAACACCACGGGCTCCTCACTAGACCCCATAAGACCCCCTCGTTGGTGTCGAACGGCTAGGTTTCTGGGATCCTGCCAAGGCTGGGCACCCCCCGTCTCGAAGATCATCACGATTCCTGAGGTCTGAGATCTGGAATGCATCAACGCTGCGTCGGGAGGGGTGAAGAGCTCGTTGATCGCCTCAGTCCTCGCACGCGCCGTGGTGGAGGCAAAGGCATTCGACATATCATGCAAGTGATTCAGGTGTGCAATACGATAGGTACGATAGAAATGGCCCATGCACATCTGCACTGCGATTGCGTCCTCCCTCCTCCGTCGGGGAAGGAAACCATGAAACTCAGCCGGCCAGTGGACCCCTTTTTTGTACAAGTTGTGCTTCAACAGTCCCCCGTAGAAGCATTTCCAGTATGGACACATCACATTAATCAGACGTTTACCCAGCGTCCCCACCTTCCCGTTGTGCTTCGCGATCGATACCCCCCATGCCAGATTCCCCAGTATGGGTGTACGCTTCATTCGCCTACATAAAATATGAAGATCCTCGAGGAGTCGAGCTGAGGTCGTGGATTCCGTCTGTGCTATTGGGGTAGCTCCAAGCCCTAGGTACTCTTGAGGTCCCACTGAGAGGTACTTGGGGTCTGCGGCCATCAAGTGCAATTCCAGCGGAAAGCCCGTCGTTTGGCACTTCGTCGAAGGCGTCGTACTGTGGCCTGAAAATCCTGTCGCCCCTGGAGCTCGGTTCGCTCGAGTTCTTCATCATCCGTCGAAACCGCTGGTGCTTGCGTACTGGCGGTGGGATGGACGCAGTTGAATTAGATGTTGAGAGAGGAGGAGGAGGAGGAGGAGGAGGAGGAGGAGGAGGAGGAGGAGGAGGGAGGAGGAGGAGGGAGGAGGAGGAAGAGGGGGGGGGCGGGAACGGGAGAGGGATCTGGGGACCAGGCGGCCTGCTCGAGGGACGTTCCGGGGCCGGCGGGCCCCCCCCCAGAAGACCCCCGCGTGCCCCGCCGCGGCGTTCCCGCATGCTCCCTCGACGTGCTGTCGCGCCCGCTCCGAACGACGCCGCCGAGACGGGCCCTCCTCCCTCCTCCCTCCTTCTTCTCCTCCTCCTTCTCCTCCTCCTCCTCTTCATCCAGTTATTCCTCCTCCTCCTCCTCCTGCTCCTCCCCCTCCTCCTTTTCTCCTCTCTCCTCCTCCCTCCCCGTCCCTCCTCCTCCCCCGACCACGAGAAACCTGCCACAAGAAACCCGACCCCGAGACCCCAGGACGCCCCTGGATGTTTGGCGTGGAAACGTCACGCGTGCGTTGATTTTTTGCGGGGGCATGGCGCGGGGGGCTCCCCGGCCACCTGCAGATCTGGTGCTCGCGCTGTCAGTGCTCTGCCCTCCTATAGGGCTTGGCAGCGTCGTCCGCACCTTGCCTCTGCACGTCCGAGCTCCGCAGCTGCCTGCGCGCCCTCCTGTGCTCAGCTGCGCTCCTGCTCGCATGGGCGCTGCGCAGGCCTGGCGAAAGCTTGGAGAGGTCCCTGCCAAATTGGGGCCATCGACGCCCAAGACACCCAGGGCACCCTGGAGACATGCAGGGTGCTTCTTTCGGCGGTGGACAAACCTCCCTTTAGTAGACCTCCCCTTAGTGAAAACGGCCTGGGACCGAAACCGACGGACCTGGACCCGCAGAAATGACGGCCGCGACGCCCCGTCGCGCACCGAGAACGGCCAGTTCCTCAATCGACGTGTCAGGGCAGGAGGTCTGTCCACCCCCGGAAGACACCCGGGGCACCCTGGAGACAAGCAGGGTGCTTCTTGGCACAGGCCTCCACTGGGGCAGGTGCACGGGGCCCGGGCGGCCCCGCCCGACCCGAGGGACGCCCCCGGGGCCGGCGGGCCCCCCCCGCCCAAAAGACCCCCCCCCCCCCGGGTGCCCTCGACGCGTGGCCTTCCGGCCTGCTCCCCCGGCATGTGCTCTCTCGCGCCCGCTCCGGGAGGAGCCGCCGAGGCACCCTCGGAGCTCGGCTTCTCCTGCGCAGTGGTGAACGCTCTCGTCCGAATGCAACGTTCGCGGGACATCTCGAGCGAAACCTTCTTGTGAACAAGGATGATAGAAAACCATGCTTTCTGGGCTTGAAGCCCAGGCCCGCCTGCGGGCGATTGCCCCTGACCCAGGCGCCGCCGAGCTCAGAAAAAAATGTGCCTGTCTCTCGTTCTGCGCTCTCACAATTGACAGAAGGGGGGAGTCGGGATGGAGACAGAACCCCCTTCAGTACAACGGGGTTTGGTGAAGACGACCTCGGGCCCAAACCTGGCGGGCGCAAGCCTGGAAAATGACGGCCGCGGCGCCCTCGCGAGAACCGAAAACGGATAATTCACTAATCGACATGTCAGGGTGGGGTTCTGTCCACACCCGAGGGAGAGCGGGCGGGGGGGGGGATCTGGCTCCGGACCTCTGCTTAGTGCGACTGTTTGGAACAGTGCGTCCTGTGGGGGAGAGTACTCCTCCTGCTCGGAACAGGCGCCCCAAACAGCCAAGATCTACTCCATGGGCAAGAGAAGGGGGGGGCGAGGGCCCGCGCCGATCGGCAAAACATCGAATCAGAAAGCTATCACAAGCTCGCCTTCCTTCTCAATGGCCCAATTGCCTCTCGAACGTGTTTCGGCAGGATGGGCTCAATACGGCCCGAACAAAAAAAGCGCCGAGACGCTCCAAAAGAGGGCCACCAGAAGGGTCGCAGAGTCCCCAAGCGGGCCGCAGGTCGGCCCAAACAGACCCTCCAGACGGCCCCAAGAGATCTCCAGAGGTAGCGGGCAGAACATCTCCCCCAGAGTACTCACCCCGACACGCGAAGCCCTTCAGCAAACGCACCCGCAGAAGGAATCGGACAGGGCAGGGCTGTTCAGCAAACGCCCAAGACCGTTCAGCAAACGTCAATCATCCGGTCCGGGTGTCTTCCAGGGACGGACAGGAAACCCTTTAGGGAAACGTGGTTGATGAAAACGACCTCGGGCGCAAACCTGGCGGGCGCACTGTCTGGAAAACGATGGGCGCGGCGCCCTCGCCAGAACAGAAAACTGATGATTCACTAGTCGACGTGTCAGGGTTGGGGTTCTGTCCACCGCCGAGCCTCAGGCTCCCTTGAAAAGGGATCCATCTGCAGGAGAACCTAGAATCGAATCGATGAGTCGCAGCGGCGATCGAAATCAATCGGGACGGCATCAATCGGCAGCCGAGTCGGGACAAGTCGAATCGGCGGAAGAAATCGGCAGGCTAGTAGGCTTCTGTCGGAACCCGAAGTCGAATCGAATCGGAATCGGAGGCCATCGAAGTCGGCGGTGGACAAACCTCCCTTTGGTAAGTGAACCACCCTTTAGTCAAAACGACCTAGCACCGAAACCGACGGGTCTGGACCCGCAAAAGCAACGGCCGCGACGCCCTCTCGCGAACCCGAAAACGGGCAATTCACTAATCGACGTGTCAGGGTAGGAGGTCTATCAACATCCGACGAAGCCGAATCGAATCGAATCGGTGGAATCGAAACGAGCCCTGCCCAGGACGGCCCAGGCGGCCCCAGGACGGCCTCCACACCCAAGGGCAGTCCAACCTCGGACGGGGCCGGGCCCCTCGCGGAGCGGTGCGACTCGCTTCTGGGTGGGCCCGCGGGGGCACACGAGGGACCGAAGTGCCTGCTTTAGGTCGGGCATGTCCTCCTACGGGCGGATTCTGGAAGAGAAATGGAACACACGTATTGTCAAAACATACAAAGGAAAAGCCCAACATACTAGAAACATCGTCCCAATAGTACTGTGTACTATGTTCGAATCTTCCTCCTGTGGAGAGACATGCCCGACTCAAGGCTTGCTCCAAGCCCCAGCTCCGGCACCACCACGCGCACCAACATGTAGGCGATGTCGCCCGACATGATGGTCACGCAGAACAGCGTGACGACGACCATCAGCGTCACTGGCAGAGCGGAACCGATCAAGACGCTCAGTGGGATATCGGCGGCGAGCGAGGGGGGAATTGCGAAGAAGGCCCACTCAGGAGGAGGCACGGCTTCTCAGAAGCCCTCGCGCCCTCTGAGGAGTCTCCTTTGCCGTCGGGGAAGGCCTAGAAGACTTCTCACAAGGCCAGGGGGACTTCCGAGCCTTCTGAGAAGGCCCGCCCCTGCTCGGACGCCTGGTGCTTTTTGGGTCAGCTCGGCTATCCCGCGGCCGTTCGGGACGATCCGGGCCCCCCCCCCCCCCGGCACGCCCTCGGCGAGGCACAGCCTCTGGAAAACATCCCGAGGCTGGAAAACCGCGAAGAGACTACGAAAACGTCCACAAACCTCGAAACTCGAGCCTGGCACAGTGGAGGCCAGTCCACAAGAAACCTTCCACCCGAATCCCAACCCTGAGACCCCAGGACGTCCCCTGACTTTTGGTGTGGGAACGTCACGCCTTCACTCGCAACACCATGGAAACCCGAGAAACCCATGGGCATCCTGGAGGCAAGCAAAAAGCGCTCCTTGATATGGTTTCTCTCCACTGCAAGAGCCTACGAAAGCGTCCGAACACCTCGAAACTATAGCCTTCGGGGATCTTCTGACCCGGGTCAATCCAGACCCGGGTCAGCACGGAACCAAAAACTGCAATGCAAGAGAAAAAACTGCAACGCATGTCTTCGCCATCCCGGGTCAACCAATATGCGCGGCCGCCTCGCGGCCACGCGCGGCTCGCTAACCCGGGCCAGCCAGAGAGGGTCTTCGCAGGATCCTGCGGGATCCGGTGCCGTGGCTGACCCGTTTGCACTGACCCCCGTCTCTGAGGCCCCGAAGCCCTGCAAGACTTCCCCCCCCCCCCCGGGCTCGCCGCCGAGGATGAGCCACAGCCAGAGCGCCATGCCGCCTCGCGCTGCAGCGGCGCCGCCCTGCCGTCCCCCGCGGTGGCCCCCGCGGCGGCGGACCCCCCGCGGCCCGGGCCGGAGCTGTACACACCGGGCGCAGGGTGCACGAGATCCCCGGGCACGAGTACGGCAGGAGCTCGACCCGCATCAGAAGGCTCCACGACAAGGATGCAGGGGCCTTGGAAGGCCGCCTCGAAGCTTCTCGAGAGCGGGGCGCGGCCGACGATTGCGGCCAAAGATAGACCGAGGAGGCAAGGATGGCAAGTGTGCCCTGGGGACGGCTGCCCATCCTTGCCATGCGGGTCGACTGCAGGAGCTCGACCACAAAAAAACTTTCCACAAGAAACCTGGCCTTGAGACCCCAGGACGTCCACTGATACTTGATGTGGGAACGTCACGCGTGCCGTAGCGAGACCATCGAGACCCAAGACGCCCAGGGCCCCCTGGAGGCAAGCAGGGTGTCTCTTGGCATGGGCTTTCGCTGCGCTGGGCGGCAGCGCTCATGTCCGAGCAACAGAGCAGCGGTGTGCGCCACGTGAACACAGCGGCGCAGTGCTTTGTGGGCCCTGGAAACGGCAAGGCCGTTTTTCCACCGTTTCCAGAAAATGTTCCTTGAAAATGGAAACGGCAAAAAAACGGCGACCAGAAACGGCAAAAAAACAGCTCCAGGATTGGAACCGGAGCCGGAACCGGTCAAAAAACTGCGACGGAACCGGTAAAAAAACGGCGTCGGAACCGGTCACCGGAAAAAAAAAGGCCCTGTCGTTTCCAGGGCCCACCAAGTGTCCGAGCAACAGAGCAGCGGTGTGCGCCACGTGAACACAGCGGGGCAGTGCCTCCGCCCCGGGAAGCGTCCAGGAGGCAGGCGGTGCACCAAAAGCG